ACTGGCTCTGCGTGAGCCAGATATCGTAGTAACATCGACAAAAATAACCGTGCGTACCGTAGTTGACCATTGTAGTACCAGTACCTGCTCCGTTTTAAATGTTTTGTAGTGTTTGGATAGCGAAGTGTTGGCTTTGATTTGGATGTCGCAGTCTCGATATTTCCTTTCGTTTTGTTTTTTTAACCTAGATTGAATTTCTTTTCCTCCTCCCCCCCCCGAAATCCCGATAATTCCGTTAGACACGCTGGGGTGGGGGGGGTTATTCTTGCCTTTGTGGTTTAAGAGCACACAAACGAACAAAACACAAACCCGAAATCGACGAAAAAAAAAAAAGGGCCATATTTTTGTAATGGACAAGAAGGCTTCAAGGACTCCTGTGCTGCGGATTGAGTCTTGTGGAGCAATAAGACGGGGGATTCAAGGCACCGTCCCGGGGTGTGGATGTCTGGAGGACGCCAGGCTCCCAAGCCTGCGCGAATGACGAGTCGGCAGGTTCGCACGATAAACCAAAGGCGACATCTAGCCCGGAGAGTCTAGGCTGGTCCCCCCCCGGCTCACGTCTTCATCCTGTATCTGATGGACTTGGGCCGCAGTCTGTGTACAGAGCAATAAGCGCACAGCCGCGCCGCCGGCGTCACCCCCATCTCCAACACCTGTGTGTAACGCGGAAGTATTTAACTGTAGCTGTTTTTTTTGTTTTGTTTTGTTTTGTTTCGTTCTGGAGTCGTGTGATGTTCAAACAAACAAAAAAAAAACTGAGACGTGGTGAGAGTCGGACACTGACCTCCTGGCATGAGATTGGGGGGCCACCACTGACGACTCCCTCTTCCCGCAGTCCAAACATTCGTCGCTGTCCTGTCCGTTCCCAGTGGAGTGATCCGGAGGGGCGTGCTTGCTCTCCGGTCTCCTTTTCTCTCGATTGAACTGTGTCGTGTTAGTGGTTGGAACCCCCCTCCCCAAACCCCCTTTCTAGAGTCGCAATATATAAGGGTTGTTTGCAAAGGTGTTTAACTTTAAAAAAAATAAATAAAATAAAAATAATAATGGCGCTACTACAGATGTTCTACATTTCTACATGACTCAAGGTCCCATTCTCGCTTTGTGCCTCAGAAGTGAAGTGATCGTGTGGTTCTATGGCTTATCTTGGTGTGTTCAATGGAGAGGTTTGTTGCTGTCAAAAAGTGTTAATAAAATGCTCTATATATCCTTTTGTAAAAAAAAACTCAAGAAGTGGCTTCCCTTTGCCTTTTTTACTTATAAGATACAAAAATACTCCTTTGTTATTGTATCTGGGACAACACACGTAACAATTCTACAAAGGTAGAATATAGGGTCTGCAATATAGGGGTACACAGATGGGTATGGTATAGAATATAGGGGTAGGTGGGTTGGGTTTGGTGTAGTGTAGTATATAGG